ATGAAAATTACAGCAACGGCACCAACAATTATTATTATGCCCCCAACAACAGTCTCTTAAGCTCAACATCTTTAGTGAGTTTTTCCAACTCCCAGGCCTCTAGCAGGTAGAAGTGAGGAGTCAGGAGAGTGAAGTTCATGTCAGCTGTTCTAGCACCTTTGATGTGCTGTAAGCCAGGGGTCCCCAACCTCCAGCCACAGATCAGTAGCAGACCAGTACTGGTCAGGGCCTGTTAGGAACTGGGCCACACAGCAGGAGGTGAGCTTGAATGCAAAGCCTTGAATCATCCTGAAACCATCCCCCTGCACCCTGGTCCATGCAAAAATTGTCTTCCACAAAACTGGTCCCTGGTGCCAAAAAGGTTGGGGACCAGTAGTGTAAGCTGCTCTTGGGACTGGCCTGTGCTTCCAAGCACATGTGAAGAGTCATCCAAAAGATCTTTTTGGTTAATCACCCCAAAATCTTTGGTATTAAAAATGTCAGCCAATAACCATCAGGCTTAAAAATAAGCTAACCATAGGTCTAACAACAAACAACATTTTAAGTGACACGCAAGGAGTAAAAAGAAAACCTTCCAATTCACAAATATCAATTACACCTAGACAGTTGGGGGATAAGGTGGGCAGGGGAGATAGGGACAGCATCCCCCAGAGAGCCTGCAAGCTATATTCTCACACCTCATTGCCTACAGTGCTACCACTCCTGCACTTCACATTTGCTGAGCTATGCTAATTTCTCAATAATTTCTCTTAATTACTAGCTCATCAAAGCCAATGTCAAACATCCTGTTCATCCTGTACAGCAGTGATTCTCAGCCCTGGCTTGTCCTTGGGATCCTTACAAAATACTGAGAGTCAGGCAGCCCTCCATATTAGTTCAATCAGAATCTCTGTAGATGGGACAGGTGTAAGGAGCTCATAAAGCTCCCCAGGTGATTCCAGTGCATGGCCAGGGCTGAGGGGACACCACTACAGAGATTTGGGGGCAGAGGAGGGCAGCAGAAAGTGGGAGCAAGGGCGTAGGTAGAATCTTCCACGGAGTTCAAGCCTGGAGGAGTTTGGAGGGTGCTGATTGAAGTTAGGAGGCTGCCACAGCTGCCGCTGATGCCCTTGTCTCCTGAAAAACTACCAGCAGAGGCTCAGTTGCCTTAAACTCTATATTGATTGGATTTTGAATAATTTGCCATTAATCTAAGCTTCTTGGCCAAAATCAACCAAAGTATCACAGGGGCCTTGAGAAAGTGAAGGGGATGCTGAGGCAAACATCATACCAGTGATGAAGGCCATACTAACAGGCTTAACCTCGGGTGGGTAGGGGGGTGGTCTTCAAAAGAACCCCTGGCTCGAGCTGACTCAAGGCTGGTTGGTCAGGGGTTCTGGGGTTGTGGGTTCTGGGAGCATGGTGAAGACACAATGTTGGCAGTAATGTAGAAGGCTATGGACTGGCAGGCAGTCCACTGCAGCAGACTGATGCTGGGCTGGCACCCTCTCTCGGCCCTGGATCCCTCACCCCGTGGGGAAGTTGCACTAGGAGGGGGACCAAAATGGAAGCCTCTAAAGCAGTGGTTCCAAGCTTAGGTGTGTATCAGAATCATCTGCAGGGATTAAAACACAGATTGCTAGGTCTATGGGGGAGCCTAAGGATTTTTCATTTCTAACAAGTTCCAAGATATTGCTAATACCCCTATGTACCACACTCAGAGAATCACTGCTTTAAAGCACAAAACCCAGGACAGGACAGGATTGTCTGGGTCTAGAAGAGGCACTCCAGATGTCAATAATATTCCTTTGTGCCCTTAGAACATGATCCCAAGATGAGCTGGGATTGATTTTCATGCATGTATACAAGTGTGAGAGCCTCTGATTAAGTGATTACCTCATGAGAACAGACAGGGTTTTAAAAATAGATATGCATTTGGGTTGTTTGTTCCTAATATTTTTGCATTAGAAACTGGTAATATTTAAATCAGATTTAATTTTAGAGTTCCAAACCTTTAGTAGCATGAGACTGAAAACGATGACAGTAATATCTGTGAAAATCACTTAATGTGTCAGTATTCTGGACAGTGAATTGCTCTCTCTAGTAGCAAACCACCTCTATCTACACTGAATAAGAGAAGGCCGTGGGCATGGGAGATGCCAGACAGGGTCTTAAATATAGCAATCAGGCATCTCAATGTGGTTGGCAGGGGACCCTGGCATGCACCAAAGCAGTGTGGCCCAGAGGTTTCAGACATAGGGGCAGGAAACCTTTTGTGGTGGGTCTATAGCTGGTCACCAAGAAGGCAGGTCTGCCTGGAGGTTGTAGTGAGTTTTTATTGAGATCAAACTTCTCTCTACTTCTAATCATCTAGATTGGAGGCCATCCTGGCTTATAGCAGAATGTCCAGAATATTTCTAGGGAGAGTCACTCTTACTTCCCTGGTTATTCCCTAGATTAAAAATAGAGGCTTTTTTGTGTCACAGAGGAAGTTACAGTCAGTGGGCAGGCCACGGAGCAAGCTGCACAAGCTCACAGGCACCTGCTGCTGTATAAGGCCCCTCACATACTCCTCTCACCTCCCCCAAACCTCTTTCTAAGTCATGTTGGACTTCTTGGAAGTTCTTGAATTCTTGGGCTCTCTGATGCCTTTCCTCCACTTCTTTCTCAATGAACTCCTATTCATCCTTAAGAACCCTGCTCAGATGTTGCTTCCTTTATGAACATGTCCCTGGCTAGTCTGGCCAGACAAAACTAAGTCCTCCTTCCATATCGTGTACGCTACACATCATACTTATCACATTGTGCTGCAAGTGCTTGTTCCTGCACTTGCCTTTCCTCACCTCTGGATTGTTTGCTCTTGGAAGTTAAGTGCTATGTCTTATTCTTCATGTCCCTAGCTCCTACCACAGTAGTTGGCACAGTTTAGTGTCTAATTAATGATATAAATGAATTCCAGTGTTTGCATGGGGGAAAACAATCTTCAGTACCCAGTAGGAATGTGGGCTGGAAAGCATTAACACCCAAAGAGTCACAGACGATCAGAGCTGGAGGGGACCTTAGCTATCACCTGTGGCAGTTCCTCATCCTATGAAGGAGGAAGCTCAGAGATGCTTAAAGATACAGAGTAACCTACCCAAGAAGGACAGCGAACTGGATCAGAATGCAGCCTTTGGGTTCCTGTCTAGAGCTCAGCCAGGCTCGGCAGAACACCCACATGGAGAGTTCGTGGACTAGATCAGCTCTTTCTGCCCACGTGTGATAGACCCAGAACCCATGAGGCCCACGTCTCACTCTGGAGTATGTGACACCTTCCCTTTCCAGCACTAGATCCAACCCAGAGAGAGTAAAAATGTTCTTTGCCACAGAATCCAACCATTTTTAACAGTGTCTGAGTAAGTGTTCATCTCTAGGCCTGAACCCCAATGGAGTAGGAAGGTTTTTCCTGGTACTTTTGAAGTGAAAAAGGATGTTTTAAGCAAAGTGGGTAAGAAAGAGGAATGGAAACACTCCAGTTCTTAATCATGATTTCTAGCAGCAGGAGAACAACTTTGGGGGCCTCTTCTATCTCCTCATCCTCTGGCTCCTCCATGTGAGGGACTTGGAACCACGGTGTCTTTATTGACATTTGCTTATGTAGCACAAAATGAGAGGGTCAAAGGAAGGTAGGAGTCCACACTGGGAAAAGACATGATGGGGAAAGGGGTTAGGGGGGTTGGAAAGAGAATATGGACAGGAATGATAACAATATCATTCTAGATTTTTTTCTTTTGTGGGGGGCTACCCTACCCTACAAGTTCTGCCATAGACACAATAGTTTACTCATTCATTCATTTTTTTTAAATGTCATGTAACTCTTCTGCTTAAATCCTTCCACTACCTTTCCATTTCCCTTAGGATAAAACCACAGTTACCAGACTTGGCTCTTTCTGTCTAATTCATTCCCCAGGACTGTTCTCTACATGCTCAGCAACTTTGACTTGTTTCTACCTTGGGGCCTTTGCACTTCCTATTCCTTTTGCCTGAAATGCCCTCTCCCTCATTCCTTCTCATCCTTCACATTTGAACTTAAAGGCCATTTCTTCAGAGAACCCTTGATTGAGTATCCTGTCTACAGCAGCCCCTCGATACACTCTGTACTTGCCCTCTGTAATCACACTCCACTCATATCCTTCATAGTATATGAAGAATCTGAAGATAATCTTGCTTATTTACACAAGACTGTAAGCTCCATGAGAGTGGAGACCTTGTCTGTCTTACTCACTGCTGTATCCCCAGCACCAAAAATAGTGCTTGGCACATAGTAGGTGCTCAGGAAATATTATTGAATAAATGAATGAAGCACAAACATATATAAGGTTTATACAAGTGAACAAATAGGAACCTTCCATTGCTTCTAGGAACTACAACCTAAAACTGAGTAGCATTTTTTTCTCATTGTATGATCTCCATAGCTTCTGACTCCTGAATTTTGGCATGGTTCTTGAGATTCCTGTCCAAGTCCTGTAAGAGCTCACTGTTATCTGTTGCATGGTCTGGTGTTCCATCAAAGTGCAAATTTATTCTGCACTGTCAGGGATTTTCCTTCTGTGTAAGGTACCTGAGGCTGACCCAGAGGTGGGTGTACCACATCTGCGTGAGTGTAACGTACAGAATAATACCCATTCTGATGCCGGATTAGAGGTCTGCTGGAGCAGGACTCTGCTATGAGGCTGGAAGCACCTACAATGGGGCTTATGCCACAGACTGTGTCCAGGCAGAAATCAAGAGCGTTGGCACAAGAGTGAAAGGCAGGTGCCACTCTATGCTTGTGCAAGGTCAGGTCCCTGGCAGTTTGGGTAGCTGGGCTTGAGCTCCTTCCTGAGCCCTGCTGCTGATAAAATCCCAGAACTCAGGGAAATGGGGTTTGTCCTACTGGAAAACAGGACAAACATCCCTCCTTGCCTGCCTGGGGCACAGGTCTCTGTTTGCTTGAGAATGTGGTGAAGTGTATGTCTAATGCCAGCTCTTTCCTCTCACAGAGTCCTGGCCCGTGGTTGTGCAGTCCAGGTGGCTGGATGGCATGCTGGACCCAAGCTCAGCTCAGCGTCCGGGCCCAATAAAGGCTTTTCCAAGGAAGCAGCTTTCAGTCCCGGCCACACCGAGGTAAGTACCTGGGGTGTCTGTCTTACCAAGGGTCCTGACTCTGGAGCTGCCAGGACAGCTGAAAATGAGCCCCAGCCTGAGGAAGGGGCATTGGATCCAACTGCTGATCATGGGGCTCCAGCACATGTGACTCCCAGCCCATCTGAGAGATATGCTCTCAGGCTGGCCCCATGGCTTCCAGGGACATGCTGGGAGTCTGAGTCACCCATGTCTAAAGTAACAGAACACAGGGCCTCAAATAGACCCAGAGTACTGGTCAGACCCCCCACACAGCTGCTGGCCTGTCTGAGCAGGCAGCCTTGTGAGATGGAAGGGCCTTGATCACTCTAATGCCCTTGGTCATGGAATGAAGTGTGGGGAGAGCTCCAGATCTGCAGACAGAGGCTCAACTCTAAGTTCCATTCCCTCCAGTTTTGTGCCCATGGTCAAGTTACTCTTATACCCTGCTTGTTTCCTCCTTTATAAAGTGGGAATAATAAAAGGCCTACCTCCCAGGCTTGCTGTGATGGTTAATAAGACAATTATGCCCAGTAGGTGATCATTTCCTCTTAAGATGGGTCTCTAAGAGTGAGCATCAGTAGATTCTGTTTCCATTCTGTCCTGCAGCAGACCAATACATCTGCAGATGCCTGCACCTACTGGTGCTTCTGGCTGCATATTTCCATCATGGGCATTTTAGTGCTTTTGAATTGAGTTTACCTGAGGCCCAGGAACCTGATAAACTAGATTTTAAAATAATTAAATATCCAAGTGTTCCCTGGTATCTGGACTTGTGGCCTAAGGGCAGTAAGACTTATAGTCTGTTGAAAGGAATTTTCACTTTGATGTTGGGGGCTGAGTAAACACAACCCAGGACCAATCAGTTACTATGTGTGTGGGCTTCAAGCCTCTGTCCCCTGGAAGGTGCTAAGCAACATCAAGTGCCCTCATGTGGAGGCTGCCTCTCACTAGGTGCATTAGCCTCTCAAGGCCCATTTCTCTGCTCTGTAAAGTTCAGTGATTGTACTAGACTAGTGGTTCTCAAAATGTGGTTCCCAGACCAGCAGCATCAGCATCACCTGGAACGTGTGAGAAATGCAGATTCTTGGGCCCCACCCCAGGTCTACTGAATCAGAAACCAGGGGTGGGCCCAGCAGTCTGTGATTTACAAACTCTCCGGGTGTTTTCCATGCACTGCTCCTCTGGACTTGAGAAGCTCTGATGTCCCCTCCAGCCCATGCTGCCCCCTGGGAGATGCTAGCAGAGGCGCTGGCTTCTCTTCTGTCAATGCCTTTCTCTGCTGCAGCCTCAGGCTCCCTCCCTGGGGAGCTGAGGAGCCACAGAATGCCTCTCACGCACCAAACAGGCCCCGAAAACTGAGAGGGTCTGAGTCTACAACTGAAGACAGCAGCCACTTTACATTTACAGTGGAGGCCAAGTGTAAAACAAGACATGACATTTGACCCACTGTCATAATGTGGCAAGTGAAATGGAGGAGGAGGCTGGATTTCCTCAGCCACAAGAATTTCCTCTCTCACTAACACTCAGTGACCCTGGTTCCCTGACCCAATCACTAAGAGCTCTTGGTATCACTCTGTCCAGGCAGGAATGATCTTACTCCCCTTGGCAATGTAGCTCCAAAGGCAGGTTGCCAAGCCCTCCTGTTTGGGCCAGTTGCTTACCTCTGTCTAGCAGCTTCATCACCTAGGTAGGTGAGACCAAAACTCTGTGTGAAGATCATTCACCTGGTGCAGGAAGTTTCTCTTATTATTGGAGTGTATGAGCTACTGAAAATTAGCTCCAGAATATACCTCTGGCCCAGGAGAAGGCAGCAGAGTTGGGCAGCCTCTTAGTAACTGGATAAAAGGCACCACTGAGCCCCACCCCCCACCCACCGCCACGCTTAGTCATTGATCTTCCCTTCTGGGAGGAGCAGAACAATTACAGAATACTCACACATTACACGGAACATGTTCCTTCCTGTGAGCCGCTCATTGCATCTCCCCCAGATAATCATTCAGCTCGCAGCGTTTCACTTAGTGGAGCCCTGGTGGGGGCCGTCATTTCAAAGGTTGTTTTTAAAAATAATTAAATGAAAGTTCTCCCCAGGGCTCACTTCAACCAAAGAAAAAATGGTTGTGTTTTTGTTTTTTTTTTAAACTGTTGTGCATTACATCACTAGAATAGAAAACACACTTGTTTGTTTTTTAATCTACGGATGATTTTTAAAAGAAAGCCTTTTTAATTTAACATTATAGGGGCACATTATTATAAGTCAAATAAGTGGTTTTTAAAGACCACCTTTTCATCTGAAACCCAAATGAGAGACATAGTTGCAACATTTTCAAACCTTAATGAAATTGTCTGTCCACAACGCAAACCTCTGCTGGGATGACATGCCACCAGTCACCACATGCTATGTCCTGACAGTGAGCCCAGAAGTCGCATTAGACCGTCAGAGCTTTGTGAAGGCAGCTCAGCAGAGTAGGAAACCTCCCACAGGCAGACCTCATTTCATCATGCTTTGCTCTGTCGCACTTCGCAGATACTGCATTTTCACCCACAGCGAGGCCACACCCTCCACCAGCCAAATATCACAACTCACTGAAGGCTCCAATGATGGTTCTCATTTTATAGTGATGAAGTATTTTTTTAATTAAGGTGTGTACATTGTTTTCAGACATAATGTTATTGCACACCTCATGGACTACAGTGTAGTATAAATATAACTTCGATATGCACTGAGAAACCAAAAAACTTGTGTTCCTCACTTTATTGTGACATTCGCTTTATTGTGGTGGTCTGGGGCTAAACTGGCAGTATGTCCAAGGTAATTGCTTAAACTCAAAGAAGGTCAGGGCTGGAAGCTACCTTAAACATTACCAGTCCAATGGAGAAATTAAGGAGCACAGAAGGGAGGAGATTTGTCCACACATTCACTGATTCGTATCCGGGGAGTTACTTGTGGATGCTAGGTCACCTGGACACAAAAGACAAACAGGATGCTTTTTTTCTGCTTTCAGGGAGTTTGCCCTCTAGGAGGGAAGATAAGAGAAGAACACCAGTGTAATAACAGAGACTGAGGGAAATGCTTTTAGAAATGGAAAAGGCAGAAAGTTTGTCTCTTTGGAAAGAAGAAAAGCTTCCCAGTGGAGGTGGCATTTTAGTCAAGTGTTAAAAGACAATAGGAAGGAGTCCAACCAGCAGAGGTGGCAGCAGAAAAGACAGGAGGGGCAGAGGGGAGTGTGACTGGTACAGAAGACTCGGAAGGGGACCAACAGTGGGGAAGCACAGCACAGGTGCCATTGGGAAGAGTTTACCTGGAATCTGACAGGAAAGAAGGCAGCCAGGGACTGTCAGGCCGAGTAGTCCCACTGGCTCAGCTGGGCAATCGACCCAGCACTGGGTCCTTTGAGCAGTCTGATGTGGTTACATGAGGCAGCCAGGGATAGCAGGCACTGGAAGGAGAGAGATGATAGTCAAGGGCATAAGTTGGGATACTGTGCCATGACCTGAACTAGGAGCACAGAGGTGAGAAATTACTTTCAAGAGATGCTACTGACCAGAACCAAAAGGGCTGGCGGAGAGTGCAGAGGAAATAACAGAGTCCAGGGTTGGAGCTGGTAAGTGAAGGAATAGTGGTCCCAGTCACAGAGACAGGAAAATGAGGAGAAACCTGTTTGAAGGATAGGGAGAGGTGTTCGTAGGAGATTGTAGCTGTGAAATGGCTTTGTAAATCAGCAAGGGGCCCCAAATGGGCTGCTGTTGTTGAGGAAAGAGGAAGAAGGGGTGATGACCCCAAAGAGGGCTCTTTCTGGCATCTTGCTTTTAAAATGTCAGTATCCATGGAGCATTGCCCATTGGGAAACTGCCTTTCAAAAGACCAGACCCAGGCCAAGCATCAACTGCGCAGAAGTTTCAGTCGACTCCTTAAAAGAGGGTGAGCGCACCCAAAGGGAGACTGGAGCGAGGGACACCTTGGAAATGAAAAGCAGGGAGCATTGTGCCCTTAGTACCATCGAAACCCTGAATTTCAGTCAATTTTTTTTTCATTTCAGTATCCAAGTTCTAAGTGTTACTACTAATTTGTATATAAAGGGATGAATATTGGTTTCATTTCTTTTCCCTTCATCTACCTGATGAAGGATATCATGGACTGAGAAGCAGGAGGAAATGAAACACAAAAAGGAGAAAAGGTAAAGGGCTTGGATTCACTGCCACCTGAATGGTGAGCCCTGTAACAGTGGGTTGGACGTGAGCTGCACGGCCGCTGGTGGACAGAACCAGGGCAGTCAGAAGTGCAGATGTGCCCCAACCCCCTGCATGACCGGCTGGAGAACTGGAGCAAACACAAACATTTTCAAAGCAACCAAAGAGAAAAGAATGTGGTGGTTTTGTTCTTGGTATCTCACCAAAGAGCTGTCTATATCTAGGTGCAGAAAAGCACAGGACTGAGGAGAAGAATGCATTGGTTGAAAACATAAGGCATGCTGTATTTGGCCATCTGTATAAAATCCAGAGAAGCCATGCACCATGGTGGGAAGAAGGCAGATTGGGAGCTTCCCTGGCCACCCCTGTTCACTCTTTCATCCATACGCCTTATTGTTGTTGAGGACCCACTACAATGCCAGGCACTGCACATGGCCCCGGAAGTATTTAAAGGCAAATGGCTTCTGAAGTGCTATCGGGGAGACAGGTGTGTAAATAATCATCCACAAACTTCCAGCCAAGAGGGAAGCATAGGTGCACACACTGTGCCTCCTCGCACAACCAAAATTAAGGACAACAAAAATTTAGAAACAAAAAAAACAACCAGAACAGACAGAAAATTGAACAGTACAGAAGTTCGACAACCATTCATCCAGACTGGTAAGAGGGGCAGAGTCCATTCATCCAGACCGATAAGAGGGGCAGAGTCGGAGGCAGGAGGACAGGGGTCGCGGCAGGAAAGAGCGGTGGCTGGCAGAAGCGGCATGCAGGTGGTGGCTAGCAGACCACGGGCGTGGGGAGGCAATGGGCAGACCCAGCGAGGTGCATAAGGCAGCTAGCTGTCCACAGTCACACATTTGCATGCAGATAAACCAGGTGAAAACGGGCAGTGAGATAGACTGCACAACCCAGGGCCTCAGCACCAGGAAATAAAGCCTAAAAGCACCAATTGAAAAGACTTGTGGGGGTTGAGGTGCCGGGAGAGACTCCCAACCTCACAGGAGAGTGCATTGGAGAGACCCACAGGGTCCTAGAATGTGCACAAGCCCACTCATCCAGGAACCAACACCAGAAGGGCTCAATTTGCTTGTGGGAAGTGGAAGAGGCAACTGAAATCCAAGGGAGAGCAGAGCAAGCGCCATTGTTCCCTCTCTGACCCATCACAACCCACTCTGGTGAACACCTAAGGTTTCACCCCTCATATGTAACAGGTGCGACCAGACCAAAGGAAAAAAAATATGGCTCAAACAGAACTGAAAGCCTCACAACCAATACTTTTAAGCGACCGAGAGATGGCCAACCTATCAGACGCACAGTTCAAAGCACTGGTGATCAGGATGCTCACAGAATTGGTTGATTTGAGTCACAAATTAGATGAAAAAATGAAAGATACACTAAGTGAAATGAAGAAAAATGCACAGAGAACCAATAGTGATGGAAAGAAAACTGGCTCTCACATCCATGGAGTGGACCAAAAGGAAGAAAAAAACATGCAATCAGGAAAGACTGAAGAAACAAGAATTCAAAAAAATGAGGAGAGGCTTAGGAACCTCTAGGACATCTTTAAACATTCCAACATCCGAATTATAGGGGTACCAGAAGGGGAAGAGGAAGAGCAACAAGTGGAAAACATATTTGAACAAATAATAAAGGAGAACTTCCCCAACCTGGCAAAGAAAATAGACTTCCAGGAAGTCCAGGAAGCTTAGAGAGTCCCAAAGAAGTTGGACTCAAGGAGGAACACGCCAAGGCACATCATAACTACATTACCCAAGATTACAAATAAGGAGAGAATTCTAGAAGCAGCAAGAGCTAAGGGGACAGTCACCTACAAAGGAGTTCCCATCAGACTGTCAGCTGATTTCTCAAAAAAGACCTTACAGGCAAGAGGGGGCTAGAAAGAAGTATTCCAAGTAATGAAAGGCAAGGACCTACATCCAAGATTGCTCTATCCAGCAAAGCTTTCATTTAGAATGGAAGGGCAGATAAAGTGCTTCTCAGATAAGGTCAAGTTAAAGGAGTTCATCATCACCAAGCCCTTATTCTGTGAAATGTTAAAGGGACTTATCTAAGAAAAAGAAGATAAAAAATATGAACAGTAAAAAGACAGCAAACTCACAGTTATTAACAACCACACCTAAAACAAAAGCAAACTACGCAAACAAATAGAACAGGAACAGAACCACAGAAACAGAGATCACATGGAGGGTTAGCAACAGGGGAGTGGGAGAAGGAGAGAGGGAGAAAAGGTACAGAGAATAAGTAGCATAGATGGTAGAGAGAAAATAGAGGGAGGGTACAAATAGTATGGGAAATGTAGAAGCTAAAGAACTTATGACACATGGACATGAACTAAAGGGGGGAATGTGGGTGGGAGGGGGTGTGCAGGGTGGAGGGGAATAAAGGGGGAAATGGGACAACTGTAATAGCATAATCAATGAAATACACTTTTAAAAAAATAATCATCCGCAGCTAGGAGGTATGAGAGGGTTATGCACGGAAGACAAGGGAGGTGCACACCCAGGGACGGAGCAACTAGCTGCTGTGACACAGCTCTGCCCTCCACAATGTCACAGTCAATAAGGAGATAGGCTCCAATTATCACACTTTGAAAGAAGCCCAATAGAGGAAAAACAAGGTGCTATGAAAGGTGCTATGAAAGGTGCAGAAATTGGTGGAGTGAGCTTGGGGAGTGGCCAAGCAGACATATAACTGAAGAAGACCAAGCTTTTGACCACAGGAAATGAGAGTGACTCAGAGTTAACTCAGATTTTGTGAGTGCCTATTTAACCTACCAACAACCCTGTGAAATGGTGTTTATTATCCACTTTTATCAGTAAGGAAACAAAGGCTCAGAGAGATTAGTGGCTTCCATTTACTAACAAGTAGCCAAGATAGGAATCCAAACAAGGTTTTCAAACCCCAGATCCAATGCAGACTTTTTTCACTACATTGATTTAGCAGGAGAGAACACACACACACACACACACACACACACACACACTGTCTTCTGAAGTCGAGAATGGAAAGAGATCTCTTTTGATTGGGTTGATCTGAGACAGCACCCTCAAGACAAAGGTGGTATCTGTGCCAGGCTGGACAAGTGGGAGGGTGTAGAATGACCAGGGGACGTGAGAGAAGGGGTAGAATTAGAAGCTTGAGCACCCTCTACCAGGGATGCTCTAACTTACCAAGAAGATCAGCGGTAGCTTCACAGAGGAGGTGACATTTGATAGGAACCTCTTGGCGTGAACAAAAGCTCACCAAAAGTCAGCTTAAGAACCCAGCGAGTTCCACAGGTTACGTGACCTGGGTTGTCGGGGTTGATCAGTGGTGACAACCATATGCAGCACGGTGTCCTGTCTGGCACGTGCTGAAGAGGGGCTTGCACTGCCTTTGGGGACAGATATAATTATGCCATTTGGTCTATACAAACAATAAAAAGAAAAGACATGTTGAAGAATGAAAGAGAAAGTGAGGGAGGAAGGAAGGAACACTAGAAGGGTGGACTGGCTCAGTAAAGGGTCAGATTTGGATTCTATTTCTGTTCCAGTGTTTGCTAGTGACTTAAAGCCTGCGTTAATCTTCTGTGGATCACTTTCCTTGTGGATGAAAGAAAGAGGATGAATTCTAACCTAACTCACAGCCTAATGAGAAATTAGAAGTGAACATATTTGAAAAGCTTCACAACACAAAGAGGAAACGTTATCAGTATCATGTTTATATGGGAGGGCTGCTGCCCAGATAGAAGGACCAGCTAAGATGGTGTCAGGACCACACAGTTTTTGCTCAGACACGATGCTTCAAGGACCCATCATAAGGGTCCAGAGTCACCGGTTCTCCGAACTGACACCGTGCTGCTTCTGTGAAGAGCATGTGGTCATGCTAAGGCTTCCAGACAAGTCCCAGCCAACCCTCCCCTCAGCCCTCCCGGCGGAGTCCAGAGGGGGTGGAACCTAACTCACCTCCGTGCCCCCAGTGCACTGTGTGCTGGCACTGCACCTGCACCGCCTGCTCAAGGCTGCCTCAGGCTGGTGGGCAGAGAGCTCCAGGGGTTCTGTGAGTGAAGCTCCCAAGCTCAGACCAGGCCACAGGGCAGAATGTCAGGTCCTCTATCCCTTCCTGGAGAAGTTCACTCCTTACAGGGGTGGCCATATATCCGGGCTGTCTCAACAGGTCCTGTTTATGCCTGTTGTCCCAATGTCACTGTGGCTAGCACCCCCTTTCACTTTCATAAGTAATCCAGTTCGAAGGGTGAATTCCAGAGTCACCTTGCCCACCAACTGACTCCCAAGTAATCCTCTTGGGAGGTCGATTCTGAGCAGCTGAGACACTGCCTTTGTACAGGCGTCCTCGGTGAGTAACCTTATTTCTGCTCCATTTCAGGTGCAGAGCGTAATGTCCATGTTGTCCTACACTCTGATCACAGCTCTTCTGATCGGCGCCCAGGCAGACACGCAGGCAGAGAGCAATGTCCCCGCAGGGCACGCCGTTCCCCAAGCCCACTGGACGAGCCTCCAACACTCCTTGGACACAGCCCTCCGCAGAGCCCGCAGCGCCCCAGCCCGGGCAATAGCTGCCAGGGTGGCAGGGCAAACGCGCAACATCACAGTGGACCCCAAACTTTTTAAGAAGCGGCGACTGCGTTCACCTCGTGTGCTGTTCAGCACCCAGCCCCCGCCCGTCGCTGCAGACGCCCAGCATCCGGACTTCGAGGCCGTTGGTGTGGCCTCCTTCAACAGGACTCACAGGAGCAAGCGATCCACGTCCCACCCCGTCTTCCACAGGGGGGAGTTCTCCGTGTGCGACAGCATCAGCGTGTGGGTGGGGGACAAGACCACGGCCACGGACATCAAGGGCAAGGAGGTGATGGTGTTGGGAGAGGTGAACATCAATAACAGTGTGTTCAAACAGTACTTTTTTGAGACCAAGTGCCGGGACCCCAACCCCGTGGACAGCGGGTGCCGGGGCATTGATGCCAAGCACTGGAACTCGTATTGCACCACGACACACACTTTCGTCAAGGCGCTGACCATGGACGACAAGCAGGCTGCCTGGCGGTTTATCCGGATAGACACGGCCTGTGTGTGTGTGCTCAGCAGGAAGACTGGGAGGCGAGCCTGACCACACACCAGCCCCCACCCACCCCCAGCTCCCCTCCACACTCTTCTGGGCCCCTCCCTACCTCAACCTGTAAATTATTTTAAGTTATAAGGACTGCATGGTAATTTATAGTTTATACAATTTTTTAAAAAATCATTATTTATTAAATTTTTGGAAGCATCCTGTGCGCTGGCACTCCAGTCATTTTCCCCAGGGTGACCATCTGCACGTCTGGGGCCCACACAGGGCGCACTGTCCACAGCAGTGCCCCTCAGGCCTGCCTGTCACCCTCAGCCCACCCCTTCCGGCACTACAACTTCAGGGAAGGCTCACTGGTTTGAGCTGTTAGCCTACGCTGGGCGTGATTAGGAAGGGAAGTCTGTGGGATTGCAACTTTGTTCTGCATTCCAGAGGGAAAGCTGCCTAATCCTTGGATTACCTGCCCCCCAGCCTGGATCCACGAGCCTTGATTGCTCCACTTGGGAAGTTAGTGGGGCCTCATCAGAAGGCTCGGTCCTGGAGCGACCGGCTCACTCTCTGTAGACAGGAGGAGACTAGCACCAAGGACCTGTGAGCTGGCTTGCTTCTAACGGATGATCTTTCTGCTGAAAAGCTATCTGGCAGAGCTATAACAAAATAATCACATGAGGCTTGTCACGGTAGATCTGATTTCATGTTAAGATTGCCCGAGTACTAATGGCTGGTTCTCTGGTTTATCCTCGGAGGCTCCCTACAGAAAGACTTCATTACCCAAGGAAATATTAGGGCCTCCAACACTCTTGCTATCCGCTAATGGACTCACAGCAACTTCAAACATCAGCCCAGATGCAGGGGAGCCAGAGATCTGCCCTGAAAAATAATTGTAAATCTCTTAATTCTAATTGGGTGATTTCCACAAGTGACCAAAGGTGGACAGGGTCATGGGACCCTCAGAGAGATGGTGGGGGGAGGAAAGACAAAGATAAATGGAGTGAAAGCCAACACAAATAAACCAGATAAGATGAGGGTGGGGGTGAACCAAGCCCAAGGGAACAAGGCCTTTCTGCTGCTTCCCACAGGGGAACCAAACAGGAGAGAGAGGAGAGCAGAGAGGGTGAGAGGAGGGGAGCACAGAGCAGAAGAGGAGGAAGGGGTCATCTCAACTCTACCAGCCTCCCCCTGCCTCCGAGAAATCCAGCACCCTGGGCAGTCTTTCCTTTTGGTGGGGTGGAGGTGCTCCTCAACACTGATTACATCAAGAGCATGTTGTCTTAAGAGAGGGAGGGAGGTGACAGAGAGACTCCAGGATCCAGCCCGTAGCCTCAGCTGTCACCTTCCCCTGTAACTTTTTTGTTTGTTTTTTCGTATTTTCCCTGAAGGCACAATCCCCACCTCTTCCCCCCACACCCCTCAGCAAACACATACACACAGAGCACTTAAATTGAAATGGAAATTTTGCTTTCTCTACCCATCTTACCCCCAGGGTGAAATGCCTACCCTAGTTTTTATGAGAACAGGCCCAAATTGTCCCTCTGATATAAAAAGCAAATGATCATCCTTATTCCTCTGTAATTCTTACTGGCCCACCCCGCCCCCAACCCAATCCAAATAAGGCAAATTAGAAACGTGGAGAGCTTTGGCACAAGAGGAATTTGATTAGGGTGAAAGCATGATGACATGTAGCTTGTTTTTCCTATTAAAGCTACTGCAATTGGAATGAAGATTTATGTTAAAGGAACACCAACCAGTACACTCTGTGCTGAAATACTTGGTCAGATAAAGGCTGCAGGGCGGGAGCTCTCCCACAGTCCTGTGTCTGTGGCCTACACTGGGCTCCAGTGCCAGGGTCCTTGGCCTTCCTGTCCCTGCTTAGCCAACAGCTCCTAGGGCCCTTTCCCCTAGGGCTGGATGGACCATCTGGGCCCCAGATATGGTGATAGAGTGCTTGTGAGGGAGGCGTTTCAGGCTTTTCTGGAGAGCTACCCCACCCTACAAAACACTGGGATCCTCAAAACAAGCCTTAGACTCCCCTGGCCTGCCTGGAGGGAAGACGGCATCTGAGGAAGGATAGAGGCCGAGAGCCAGGTAACAGAGAAGCCCCGACCCTGCTGACCAGGCCTTCCCCAAAGGCAGTGCTGGCTCCAGGCCGAGCCCGTGGAGCGATGTTCTTACACATGGCGTGGGATTATCATTTTGACTGCACTGAGTCTACGTGGTCCAAAAACAACCCCGAGCCTTGTGGTTTCTGCAGCTTGGACTCTCCCACCCCATACAGAGGGGAGCTCTGGCTTCCAGACTCACCGGCCGTCCCCCAAGAGGCTGGCCTGGGTCACCAAGCCTCAGACACTTGAAATCACTGAAAAACAGCTCAAAACCAGCCATTATATTCTGCTCAGGAGCAGCAGCAGCATGTCCTGAAAACATTTCCGTCCTTGCCTCACTTCTCTGCTGGGCTCACCAAAAGCCCCAAGGGCAGAGCAGGTCCCTCCCCTTCTCCGGAAGGAAGGCACCCCTGTCCCTCTGGCACACCAAAGAATATGGTGCAGACACTGGTCAGTCCCAGCCTGACACAGCCCAGCTCTCCTAGTGGAGCTTAAGGCAAAATCTGGATCTGGGAGACAGAGCAATACAGTCCCTGACTCTAGTTTGTGTTCCAACTCTGTCCCTCTGACCACCTCCCTCACCAGGGCACCCGTCTGCCCTAGATCTGCTTTCCTCCTGGGCAGAAATCCCAAGGTGGGGATACAGATCTTCAGCAACCACCAGACAGCTATTTTCATTCCCGTGAAACCCCGGAATGCTCCTCCATCTCACCTCTTTCTCCTTAGCATCACCTGCGTAATGGGAAGACAGTCTGCCCCACACCTAGAGTGCAGGGAGCAGAAGCTCTGTGCTCCTTGGAGAAAAGGGACCCTTAGGCAAGGGGAGCAGAACTATGCAAGTGTGGGCTCTCAAGAACACAGGACCCTGACCAACCTGTGACCTCAGAGTCTTTTTCCACAGGCCTGAGCAAAACGGCAGGACGCCCGGGCCCCTGGCGCTGAGGAAGCAGCCTGGTGCAAAGACACGAACATGGGCTTGGTGTCTGCAGAGCTGGGATCTGGCCCAGCTCCCCATTCCTGTCTGTGTCAGCGAGCCACTGGTCCTCTTTGACCTCAGATCCTGCACTTGTGAAATGAAAATAAGCATTTCTATGTCCCAAAGCTGAGAGTACGGAGCAAAACCATGCATTTAAGAGTCAAGAGTCAGGTCCCATGCAAAGTGATTCGTTCTGAACTTCACAATCCCTGTGGTGACTGTAGGAGAGTAACAGCTCTGCTGTACTCACTAGCTATTTCTTCACTGGCAGATGTACAGGTTGGGTAAGGGAAACCCTCTGGTCAGTGGACATTAAGGAAGAGGGACAAGGCATAGCCAGGCTCAGGGGGGCAAGAGTAACACTAGCAACTATTCAGATTCTGCTTAAATATGGGCTCAGGGAGGCCACTGAGATTCTAGAGGTTCTAGAGCAGTGGTTAACAGCACAAGCTTTGGAGTCAGATAAGCAAGATACTTCTACTTAGGCTGTGTGGCCTTAGGCAAGTTGTTTCACTGTTTCACTAAGTTTCAATTTCTTCACCTGCATAACAAGGAAAATAACAGGTCTTTTCTCAGAAAGCTGAGAGACAATTAAATGATATAAATTATATAAAATAAATATAAGCAAGTACCTGGCATTTAAGAAGTATGTACTCCTGGCCAGGTGGCTCAGCTGGTTGGAACATCATTCCCATACACCAAAAGGTCGCAGGTTCAGTTCCCAGTCAGGCACATACCTACCTAGGTTGTGCATTTGTACCCTGGTCATCATGGTACATATGGGAAGCAACCAATCAATGCTTTCTTCTCACTCTTTCTTTCTCTCTCTCTCTCCCTCTTCCTCTCTCTCTCAAACCAATAAACATATCCTTGGGTGCAGATTAAAGGAAAACAAGAAGTGTGCAATACATTTTAGTTTTGAAAAGTAGAGTTGGCTGAGAAACTCTGAAAGGATGTTGGAACAGGATGGAATATCTTTCAACACGGCAAGGTTTGTGTCAGAGTTTTATAAATGTATCATAGGCTTATTCTGTGACAAGCAATACTAATATGACTGTTAGCATTTATTAAGAGCTTGCTATGTGCCAGCACGGTATGAAGCAGTTAATGTGGATTAGCTTGAGCAAGCCTCTGAGTCCTGACACTAGGACCGACCCCCTCACAGGGAGTGCCGGGAGGCTGTGCTTTTGTTTTTGTGCATCGCTGCCAGAGAAGCGCTCCACGGTTCCCTGGGATGTGTTTACTACCCTGGCCCTTGGCAAGTTTATAAACCATTGGCTCTGAGAGTTTCCACGTGTCGAGCACATGGGCTCTGTTTTGTTCCAATTAATTTGGGTGTGCAACAGAAAAGCTCTGACTTTCTTAAAGTTCACCTGGGTTTGTGGAGATGGCTCAGAGCCCTGAGGCCAAGATCAAGTCGGGCGGGCCCTTCCTTAGCAGCAGCCAGAGGAGAACCCTTCCAACCCAGGGCAGCTCCTTCAAATCAAGGATGTGTCCCGTCTGTCTCCCTCCAGCACCTGGACCCAATCTTGCATGTGACAGTCACTCACCCAGTACCTTAGGGCAGACAAGAGAGACAAGACAATTTAGTTCCCATCTTTTCCCCCATCCCCAGTTATGATCCCCACATTGTATATGCTTATTCTGTGTCAGCAATAAATGGGTTAATAGTCTGAGTTGAAGGCAAGGTCCTTCCGAGCCCATTGTTGAGGGCGGGGGGTGGGGGTTGTCCCAGCACCTTTCAGAGGCTGGTGTCATGGTGAAGAGCATTATCAAACTGCCACAGTCAAACCCTAGCTGTACCACTAGCTTGTCTGAGTGATATTCTACACATTACCTTATTTCTTCGTACTTCAGTTTTCTTATGTGGAAGATGTGGATGCTAATAATAGAAACTACTCCACTGAGTTGTAAAGCACTTAGTCTAGTGTTTGGCACATAGTAAATTATTGTATATAAAACACATATAAATACATGCACAGCTATATATACATATGCCCACATATTCACACAATATGCAAATACATT